TTTTCCTAAAGGTTCTGCAGCCTCTCGAGGATAAATACAGACGTCTCCGTACCGATCCGCGAGACTCTACTAAACCTGCTCATGACTCGTGAGACCTATGTAACCTAGGCTCTGATACCAACTTGTCACGACCCTAAACCCAGACCGGTCGTGATGGCGCCTCTCATGAAGACAAGGCCAGCCGACACATTTCCAATCCAGTTTTTTTAAGCAATTAAACAATAAGCATTACGTCTAAAACATGATATAATCTCAGAAATAACGATGATAATACAAAACAATTCGCGGAATACAACCCAACACAGCCCGATACCGGGGTGTCACTAGTCATGAGCATCTACTATAATTGTCTAGTCACATCAAGACCGAAATGGTCGGAAAAATCGCAATATTACATAAGGAGGAATAAAGAGGGAGAAAGCAGAGCCACGATCGCCAGGCAGCTACCTTGCTAACTCCAATGACAACTGCCACCACGCTCAAAAAATACCTGAATCTGCACACAGGGTGCAGGGAGTAAAATGAGTACTGCCAACTCAGTGAGTAATAATCATAAGTAAAGTCTGAATGGTAAGAAATCACGAAAAGTGCATCAACATGCTGTATAGAAGCAGTTCAAAAACCAGTACAAAGCAATGAAGCTGTAAAAATCCCTTAAAACATTTTAGCTCAGTTTAAACTTCTTTTTAAATGACTTTTTCAACGGTTGTGCAAATGAATGCAGAACAACTAGTGCAGATAAGCACAGAAATCCGCCCCTCGGGCACAAATACACAATTTAACAGGTAATTGACAGGCAAATAAGAAAGATAAGCACATAAGGTTCGCCTCTCGGGCACAATATTAACAAATCCACCCCTCGGGCAATATCTCAGAACAGTACCAGCCCCTCGGGCAATCACATAGAACAATACCAGCCCCTCGGGCTATATCTCACGTCACAATGGGTACCCGCGCTCACTGGGGGTGTGCAGACTCCTGGAGGGGCCCCTTACGGCCCAAGCGCAATAACAAGCCATCTCGTGGCATCAAATCTAGGCCCTCGGCCTCATATCAATCAAGCCACCTCGTGGCGTACATATCTCAGGCCCTCGGCCTCACATTAGTATCAGTGTATCACCGCTGCGGCGTGCAGCCCGACCCAAAAGATATCCTCACAACACAGGCCCTCGGCCTCACTCAGTCAAAAATCACATAAGCCTCTCGGCAACAGTAAAACAGTGTTTCTCAGCCTAAAACATCATTTAAATATCATTTGAGTATTAAAAGTGAGTGAACATGGCTGAGTTTTGAAAACAGTGGAAAATAACAAGACTGAGTTCAAATGTAAAGTTAAAACAGTGAGAAAATATCAACAAACATCCCCGAAGGGTTCAAATAGTTGGCACGAAGCCCAAATATGGCATTCAGCCCAAATAATGATGATAACAAATAGATTTCAGTCAAATACACGGTAAAATCATCAATCGAGACGGACCAAGTCACAGTCAAGCGTGTGCCTCACCTCAATATAGCACTACGATGTGCAATCCGGGGTTTCAAACCCTCAGAACATCATTTACAATCATTACTCACCTCGATCCGGTCCAAACTCTAGCCCGTGATGCCTTGCCCGCACGAATCGACCTACGGATGCTCCAAATCTAGCCACAATCAGTACATAATCATTAAAACATGCTAAGGGAGCGAAGCCCACTCGAAAATATCCAATTTAACATCCAAATCCCGAATTTGCTCAAACCCGGCCCCCGGGCCCACGTCTCGGAATCCGACAAAAGTTACATAAATAGAAACCTCGTCCTCACACGAGTCTATTCATACCAAGAACATCAAAATCGGACCTCAATTGCCCCTTCAAATTCCCAATCAAAAGTCTAAATTTCCAAGCCCTAGTTCTTCACCTTTTGGCTTAAAATTTTTCATGATTTACTAGGTGGAATTCACACAAGAATCGAGTTTTGAGTTCAAAAATCTTACATCCAAGAAATCTTCTTGAATTCCCTCTTCAATTAGCTCCCCCAAGCTTCAAAGTCGCTCAACAATGGAGGATCTTGGCCTCAAAATCGCGGAATAGCCCTTTTAAAACATTCTGCCCAGGCATAAAAATCCTTCTTCGCGAACGCGGTCAAAGCCTCGCGTTCGCGAAGCACAAAAATCCGCTGACCAAAAATTCCCTTACGCGAATGCGACATCCATCTCATGAACGCGAAGCGTCCGCTTTCCAAACCATCGCGAACGCGACCTCCTTACGCGAACGCGAAGCACAAAAGGCTGGGACCCCATCTACTTTTACTTACTATATACGAACGCGACACAGGCCTCGCGAACGCGGAGGATCAAACATCACGACATCGCGAACGCGACACACTAAACATGAACGCGAAGGCAAAAAGTCGCACCTCAGAAGATCACCCTTCGCGAACGCGGGTCCCTGACCGCGAACGCGAAGAACAAATTATCTGCAACACTTCAGTTGGTTTTCTGCAATTTCAAACAACACGAAATGGTCCGATTGACCACCCGAAACTCACCCGAGGCCCTCGGGACCTCAACCAAGCATGCCAACATATCCCATAACATCATTCACACTTGTTCCAACCTTCGGAACGCTCAAAACAACATAAAAACACCAAAGTTGCACCAGATTCAAGCCTAAGAATTCCAAATTCTTCCAAATTACGCTTTTGATCAAAAACCCACCCAAACAACGTTCGAATGACCTGAAATTTTGCACACACATCCCAAATGACATAACGAAACTACTGCAACTTTCGGAATTTCATTCCGACCTCTATATCCAAATCTCGCCTATCAACTGGAAATCGCCAAAATATCAACTTCGCCAATTCAAGCCTAAAGCTACTCCAAACCTCTAAAGCTCATTCCGATCACACTCCTAAGTCATAAATCACCTCCCGAAGCTAACCGAATCATAAAAATTTCGATCCGAGATCATATGCAAACAAGTCAAATCTTGGTCAAACCTTTCAAATTTTTAGCTTCAAACTGAGAACTGTTCTTCCAAATTCATTCAGATTACCCTGAAAGTCAAAACCAACAATTTACATAAGTCTCAATACATCATACGGGGCAGGTCATGCCTGAGAACTAGCGAGCAAGGTGCAAGAGCTCTAAACGACCGATCGGGTCGTTACATCCTCCCCCACTTAAACATACGTTCGTCCTCGAACGTGCCCGGAGTTGTTACAAAAGCCCACCAATCGCTGAATAACTTTACCATGCATATACCCTGGGTTGATCCCACGTCACCCTATCTCATATAGGTCCGATAACACAATGAAACTGAAATTTCACAGTCCAACCTAGCCCATGAACCTTAGAACCACATTTCTACTTCAGAAATCATCCACAAGATCAGAATCTCACATCTATGCACTGAATAAGCCCGAACAAGCTGTAATAACCCATACCTGCAACCTCAGGTGCAATTACATGATATACCACATAACTCAAACACTTGTAGCGATAACTTCTAATCACAGCCGCTGCACATAACAACCGAGTACCGATGGAAAACCTCTTATCAACTAAAGTCTCATTCCAGCACTTTCATGTATTGCCAATGATAAATAAAACACACAGTAAGCCAAAACCATTCCTCTGATCGACCATTCATGAAATTACTTCTCCCTTGACAAAGACCATAGCGAATTTCCGAGCCGAACCTCGATATTATCCTTCCAACATGCTGAAATCGAATTCGTTGTATTCATTAGTGATCCCAACGATCTCATCTAATCCAACACAACTACTCTGGTGACATGACACCTCAATACAGACTAAAGTCACAACTTGCGCAATACGCGCACCAATAAGCAACAGTCCGAACATACTCAAATCATGAAAATGACTCAAATGAAAGAGTTGTACCTCAAGATCACCATGCTCGAAATAGACCACCACGCGCAATCTGATGTCTGGAACCCAAGCAAATCATCATACCCACGGTGAGCAAATAACATAAACCACACAAACCCGAAAGGACATAACCGATACGCCATTCACCAAGCAGCACCCAATTACTCTTCCCGCTCGACTTCTGCAATGAAACCTCAATAGAACCGCACCATATGTGCCTGTAATTAACAAATCATAACACCTCGCAACATAGAAAGGTAACTCATAGATCTTCCCAGATTACTAATAAGCTCGATAACCATCGAGTCAACACATCCCTCAACAATACAATTCGGAGCCGACCAAGCCGACTCAAGTTAGAACACGCATCCACATTGGCCTGCCAACGAACTCCTTATCAAGGAAATCCTGAAGATGCTCCTTCAACTCCTTTAACTCTGCCGTCCATACAATACGGTGCCCGACATCGAATCGATACCAAAATCAACAACCTTGCCCGGCGACATGCCCGGCCACAAGAACACATCCGAAAAATCCCTCACCACCAAAACTGAATCAATGGTAGGAGTCTCTACACTGACATACATCACAAAAGCCCAATAAGAAAGACAATCCTTCCCAGTCATCCGTTGGGTCTTCGAAATATAAACCCACCCTACTAAGAACATAATCCGTCGAACCTCGCCCTCGATCCGTGGCATTCCCGGCATAGCCAACAGTGCCGCCTTAGCGCAATAGTCCGGAATAACACAACACGAAGACAAACAGTCTATACCTAATATTACATCCAAAATCTAACATACCAGCAGCAAAAGATTCACTCGAGTCTCCAAACCCCGATAGTCACTAAACAATGCCGATAGACACGACCACAACCACAACATAGCTTGAATATGAGAACTCCCAGTCTCCAACTCCGTACAACACACGAATCACCATACTTGATCCCAATTCCACCGTCCGAGTATACAACACACCTCTAATACCCCATCATTCCAACGAGAGATACTCTAATGATTCTTCCGTACCACCAAGCAAACCCGAATGTCAGCAGTCGATTCAACAAGAAAGTGTCGCAATACTAATGATGTACCATCAACTTAATCACATTGCCTTTTTCTAAAACATATACCCTCGTCAAATCACCCCACTTAGCAATACTATTTCCTTAATCATCTGAAGATTATTTCCCTAATCATCTGAAACACATTTCTCAATTTATCTGAAGCTGCCCGCTGCCTAAGAGTTTTATGACCTTCCTTTCAGAACTAAACCGCAACCTTACACACACAATCTCAATCCTCTACACATACCGCATATACCATACCATCCTAGGATAACATGAGAACTTCATATCTCTTCCGAGCCATGAACAACTATGTACTCAACCAACCAAGAACTTTCCATTGATTCCATTCAGAAGAAAATCTCTACACATTCCTTGCTTCTTACACTCGCAGAAAATATGCATCTCTAATCGCAGTAGAAATCATGAAGAACTCTCTGTCTCCCTTTATGACAAAACCAAAGCTGACATGACTGAATACTTCTAACTGAACCGAGCTACGCAGGCCACCCAAAACCTAAGAGCATTGCCATGAAACACCTGTAAAAGCTCATTACCTCGCAAACATCCAAAGAACTAATCATATCCTTGCCATACTGGTTCAGCATACTACCAAACTATCCCTTCTATCCGAGCTTCCTTCTGATTTACCTTTAACCTAATACTGCTTCTTACTATAACATCGCAATTCTTCAACCCAGACTCACCACACGAGACCCAAGCATGATACCACACAGTCTAAGGCTCACAACCCGCTGAATTCTCTTTCAAATATTCCCAAGAGCACCACATTCAGAATACCTAGCCTGAAAAGACTTCCTGCGAACCTGAAGACATTACCTTCCTAATGCTGATGTATAGAATCCCATAATTGATATAGAAATGACTCAAGTCTTGACACCCTCCAAATGAAAAAACCTCAGTTTCTAGCCAAATTATACACCTGAAAATCTCCAATTGTTACATGTAAAACCCAGAACTCATTAGAACCATTCTCTCTAGTCATCCACTCTACCCAAACTGCAATTAGCCCGATCAAAAGAACCAAACAACCTGCGCCTCATTAGCACTTCTGACACTGCAGCATATAACCTTACCTTGATGCAACCATGCCACTTTTCTTTCCTATGCACTAAGCATTCTTTATCAATAACAACTCAAGACATTCCATGATTCTCAAACACCTATGAAGCATGATATAACCTTACCTTAGTCGAAAATTTTTCCTTTACTCGAGCCATCCTCGGGCTTAATCTCCGCAAACCATAACTGATTCACCAGCACGCCTCAAACTGAAACCAACATAGCACATAACCGTGCAATCAGCCAATCAATAGCAGACTCCCCCACTTGGCTCGAAGTCATAGATCAAAACACACACAATAACTCATAATGCATATACTTTATTGCTACCTATATACCATAGTGTGATTAAACTCAATCCTTCATAAGCTCGTGATACACAGACCATCTAGTACTTTAAATCTTATGCAAATCTCGCATTCACCCTCGTAACAGTTGAACCCCACTCTTTTAAGCGACCCAAGTTTAAATTTCAACACATATATTTCACTTGTGAATGAGATCTTCTAACAGACAACATAAGGATCACACAACCTCAGAACACTCCGTAGGAGATAACCCCACCTGTTTGCCTCAAACTAACGTTTCTGTATAGCTTCCATGGTCATAAACATTACGCAGTCACTTAATCCTCCTGAGTCTGAACTCATACCGTAATATGAAATTTACGTCACTCCCAACTAGAACACATGAAAAGATTCTTCACACACCCATAACTCAGGGTTGTACCTCCAATCGAGATGAAAATCAAGTACCTAAATGCTACTCCATTTCTCCACAAGTGCAATAATATCACTCTCTCTCTTTCTCTTCTTACTAAAAACTTATTGGCTCCCACTGATCCGAGGATACCTCGATATCCTTCGCCTTTATATGTGCTCTCCATTTTTATATGTGTTCTTCATCGTATAATTTAGTTTCGGCTATAAAGAGCTTTATTTGATCGTATCTCTAACTGCTATACTACCCTCAATTTTCCCCGATAGACCGAGCTCAATCTTGAGGTCAACCCCGAAGCCCCCATCGACCAAACCTACATCCAGGTAGCAGGCCCTCCGGTTCGATCATTATCTCGTTTTGACTCACGCTCCATCGTTAAATTACATCTTATTAGCATCATCTGCTCTAACAACTAGCTCAAGAATAGATCACGTATTTTTAGAGTCCCATTTTACAAATTTAATTGTCGTTACCATTTTCACGGTAAACAGTTTGGCGCCCACCATTGGGCTAAAAATAATAGTGATTATTTTCTTGCTAGTTTCATTACACAAGCGCATATCATCTTTCACACTTTTTCTTGTCCAAGATCCTTTGATTTCAGGTAAAAATGTCTGGCTCAGTAAACAGAGTTGAGAACGACTGCCTCGAAGATCACGGGGAAAATGGTGTAGCTATCCCGGCCGCCGGAGCACTACTACAGAATCCCGATAACACACCTGGACTAGTACTAGCGAACGCGGGCTCACAGGACGCAAAGCAAGTCAGCGAAACTTCTCACGCCGACCAAGAAGCCGACGTCCATATGATTATTAGGGGAGCCGACGTCCCCCGAGGGCGCGTCTTCAAACGAGCAAGGACACCCTCTACAGAGGAAGGATCGGCCCGGGAGTGCCCGTGTGAAGAAATCCTCGTATTCAGCGAGGAGGACCTCGAGGCTACGATGGAACCGCACAACGATGCTCTAGTCATCTCGTTTCTCTCAAACAACACCAGAATAAAGCGTGTGCTCGTGGACCCAGGTAGCTCGGTCAACATAATCAGGTCAGAAGTAGTAGGACAGCTAGGATTGCTCAATCAAGTCATCCCCACCTCTCGGGTCCTCCACGGTTTCAACATGGTTGGAGAGGAAACAAAGGGAGAAATCATTATCTCGATAGGCATGTCCGGCACGACCCATAACACCGAGTTTCAAGTCATCAACGGTGACATGAAATACAACGCCCTACTTGGCAGACCTTGGATACACAACATAAGGGCCGTGCCCTCGACCTTGCACCAGGTAATAAGGTTTCCTACCAGGGGCGGTATCACGACCATATATGGGGAACGGCAAGTACGGAGGGAAATTTTCGTAGTCCACCACGAGACGACAATTCCCGCATACCCGGCCTTGGACGGGGAGGGAAGCGCGCAGACCCTTGAAGACGACGAGGAAGACTTCTTCACACCCCGGACTTTCGTCGCTCGCGAAGAGTCCGACGCAACCAAGTCAACAGTCGAGGTGTTGGAGAAAACCGTTTTGATCAAACACCTCCCGGATCGCAAGGTATACTTGGGTACGGGGCTGACCCCCGAACTCAGGGCAGAATTTATTCAATTCCTCAGTAATAATATCGATTGCTTCGCTTGGTCCCATTTAGATATGACAGGTATCCCACCGTAGATAACTTCCCACAGATTAAGCGTTGACCCCAAGTTCAAACCCGTGAAGCAAAAAAGGAGACCGCAGTCCGAGGTGAAACATGCCTTCATCAAAGAGGAAGTGGCGAAACTCCTTAAAATTGGATCCATCAATGAGGTAAAGTATCCCGAATGGCTGGCAAACGTAGTAGTGGTACCAAAAAAAGGGAATAAGCTAAGAATGTGCGTAGACTATAAAGACTTGAAAGAGGCGTGCCCAAAAGATTCCTTCCCACTGCCCAATATCGATCACTTGATCGATGCTACGGCCGGCCACGAGACCCTCACATTTTTCGATGCCTACTCGGGGTATAATCAGATCCAGATGAACCCCGAAGATAGGGAAAAAACCTCGTTTATCACAAAATACGGAACATATTGTTACAACATAATACCCTTCGGGCTAAAAAATGCGGGAGCAACGTACCAACGGCTAGTTAACAAAATGTTCGAGCACCAGGTAGGAAAATCAATGGAGGTATATATTTATGATATGTTAGTAAAATCCCTGCGCGCAGAGGACCATTTGACCCATTTGCATGAAACCTTTGACATCCTTAGAAGCTACAACATGATGCTCAATCCTGAGAAATGCGCCTTTGGAGTAGGCTCGGGCAAATTCCTAGGCTTCATGGTCTCGAACAGGGGGATCGAAATCAATTCCGATAAAATAAAGTCCATCGAAGAGATTACGGCGGTAAACAACGTAAAAGCCGTCCAACGATTAACGGGGCGGATCGCGGCCCTAGGCAGATTCATATCAAGATCGTTAGACAAAAGCCACCATTTCTTCGCCCTGCTTAAAAAGAAAAACAACTTCGAGTGGACTTCAGAATGCCGACATGCCCTGGAGGAACTGAAACGATACTTGTCCACCCCGCCTTAGATGCGCACGCCCGAGGAGGGTGAAACACTATACCTGTACCTAGTTGTATCCGAAATACCGGTAAGCGGTGTATTGGTCCGAGAAGAGCAAGGTACGCAATTTCCTGTTTATTACGAAAGCCGCACCTTGGTGGACGCCGAAACCTGGTAACCCCATCTGGAAAAACTGGCTCTCGCACTAATAACCGCCTCGCGCAAGCTGAAGCCTTATTTTTAGTGCCACCGTATCTATGTCCTGACAACTTATCCCCTCCAAAGTATACTGCATAAACCTGAGCTATCAGGTCGATTGGCCAAATGGGCCATCGAACTCGGGTGGCATGACATCGAGTATCAACCTCGGACTGCCATTAAGTCCCAAATCCTGGCAGATTTCGTGGCCGACTTCTCGCCAGCCCTCGTGCCCGAGGTAGAGAAAGAGCTTTTATTAAATCAGGCACTTCCTCTGGGGTATGGACCCTGTTCACAGATGGTGCCATAAATGTAAGAGATTCCGGACTCGGTATAGTCCTGAGGCCGCCCGTTGGCGGCATAATCAGACAATCCATAAAAACCATGAAACTGACTAACAATGAAGCCGAATATGAGGCTATGATTGCAGGTCTAGAGTTGGCCAAAGGTTTGGGAGCCGAGATCGTCGAGGAAAAATGCGACTCGCTCCTCGTGGTAAGCCAAGTAAATGGAAGCTACGAAGCTCGAGAAGACAGGATGCAATGGTATTTAGACAAAATCCAAATCGCGTTGTGTCGTTTCAAAGAATGGACCTTAATACACATACCCGGAGAGCAAAATTGCGAGGCTGATGCCCTCGCAAACTTGGGATCTTCCGCCGAAGAAGAAGACCTGCTCCCCGGAATCGTTGTTCAACTGTTCAAATCTGTGGCCGAGGAAGGTCACGCGGAAATTAACTCTGCCAGCCTGACATGGGACTGGAGAAACAAATACATCGCTTATCTGAAAGGCGGAAAACTGCCCACAGACCCAAAAGAGTCAAGGGCCCTGCGAACCAAAGTGGACCGATTCTCACTTGACGAAAACGGGGCCCTTTACAGAAGAACTTTCGATGGTCCCCTGGCGATATGCTTGGGACCGGGCGACACGGAATACGTGCTTCGAGAGATCCACGAGGGCACCTGCGGAAATCATTCCGGGGTCGATTCCTTAGTCCGAAAAGTGATCCGAGCGGGCTACTATTAGAACAGCATGGAGAAAGACGCCAGGGAATTCGTCCGAAAATGCGACAAGTGTCAGAGGTTTGCCCCCATGATCCACCGGCCCGGAGAACAGCTGCATTCCATTCTATCACCATGGCCATTCATGAAATGGGGGATGGACATTGTCGGCCCTTTACCGACGGCGCCAGGTAAGGCAAGATTCATCTTATTTATGACTGACTATTTCTCAAAGTGGGTAGAAGCGCAGGCCTTCGAGAAAATAAGAGATAAGGAAGTCAACAATTTTATATGGGAACATATCATATGCCGGTTCGGGATCCCGTCCGAAATAACGTGCGACAACGGGAGGCAATTCATTAGGAGCAAGGTAATGCAGTTCCTCGAGGACAACGGAATCAAGAGGATCCCGTCGACACCATATTACCCGTGTGCAAACGGCCAAGCCAAATCTACAAATAAAACCATCATCCAAAACTTGAAAAAGAAACTGGAAAGCGCCAAGAGAAAATGGAGGGAAACACTGCCCGAGGTGTTGTGGGCATATCGAAAAACTCCAAAATCGAGCACCGGCGAGTCACCTTTCTCCCTAGTATACGGCGCTGAGGAACTGATGCCAGTGTAGGCCGGAAAACCAAGCGCTAGATTCCAGCACACTGGCGAGGAGTCAAATAGTGAAGCCATGGCAACGGCCCTCGAGCTGCTCGACGAAAGACGGGAAGCCTCGCTGGTTCAGATGGCCGCCCAAAAACAAAAAATCGAAAGATACTACAACAGGAGAATGAATCTCCGATACTTCGGAGTCGGAGACTTGGTCCTAAGGAAGGTCACCCTCAACACCAGAAACCCTAATGAAGGGAAGCTGGGCCAAAATTGGGAAGGACCGTACCGTGTCCTCGGAATAATTGGCAAAGGCTCCTATAAGCTTGGTACCATGGAGGCCGAACAGCTTCCGAGTAACTGGAATGTATCAATGCTTATGCGGTATTATTGCTAGGACGGTCGAATATGGAACCCCACAAACATCTTCGAAACGACCGTTGCACTCTTTTCCCTTGATCGGATTGTTTTATCCTGAAACAGGTTTTCTATCGGCAGGGGTTTTTAACGAGGCAACACCGAAGTCCTTCCCAAGAAGACTCTAGCAAGCCTACGGGACTTTTATTACGACCTACCCGGTGCCACAAAATGACGAAACAATGTACATCCGTACCGAGCAATAAAAGGATGTCTTCTCAGCATTTTATTCTCCGGACAAAGAAAACTCAAGTGTATCCCCGACAAGGGCCCCCCTCCACCGAATGCATTCCGAAATACTCGGAGACTTAATGCATACAGTTGGGCACTCGGCCGGAACTCTGGGCTCGTAAAGCCCCTGCAACGCAGCTCCGAGTTCACAAGAAGCGGTCTTCACGCTTAAACAACTTGATGACTCGGAGACTGACGACAATCGCCATGCTACATCGCCGAAAAAACTGTAAGACCTCAATAGGCATGACAAACTGTAAGACCTCAATAGGCATGACCAACTTTAAGACCTCAACAGGCATGAAAATCCCGAAGTTTAGGCTATACGTCGCATTTGTAAGAATCCTGAAAGGGCATACCCTCGGTGTAGACGCCTAAACTATCACTCGGGATCAAAAATGGCTACGGCCAAACACACATGACTACGGTCAAAACGGCTGATACAGCCAAAATAACGCGACTCGGGGACGCCCGACCATCGCTAAACAAAATCGCATGCCACTACTTCGAATATACTTCCGAAAGAACCGGTTGAAACAGGCTTCCCTCAACAGGCAAACAACGGGCTATGAACCTTCCGAGGTGCTCGAAATATCGCCGATAACGACTTAAAATCGAGGTTCTTCCAGAACCGATGACGGGTCAGGAAAAATATCTTTCAAAAGACCTTAACGAGAGGAAAACAAGCCTACAAAAAGCCCACGGGCAAAAACAGCGTAAGAGCCATTGTCGCCAGCTAAGCAAGCCTATGGGCCACATATCAAAAGGTCTCTACGACCAAAGGGCATAAAAGCCATTGTCGCCAGCCAAATTGACTACTTGAGGATTAAAGTGAGCTCAAATCGTAACTCGATTCGGAGACCGGATCCAAAATAGTTAACTAAACAAGCCTACGGGCCACATATTTGAAGGTCTCTACGACCAAAAAGCATAAGAGCCATTGTCGCCAGCAAACATTGACAACTTGAGGATTAAAGTGAGCTCGAATCATAACTCGATTCGAAGACCGGATCCAAAATAGTTAACTAAACAAGCCTACGGGCCACATATCAAAAGGTCTCTACGACCAAAATGCGTAAGAGCCCTTGTCGCCAGCCAAAAACTGACAGCTTAAGGTCAATTAAGGCTCGAATCGCAACGCGACTCAGAGACTGGACCCGAAATATGTTAAATTACAACATGCCTAAGGGCACGACGTAAGTGCCGTTGTCGCCATCCGAATAAAGCCTCCGGGCCACCCACCTGTAAGGTCACCTCGACCCAGGGCATAAACTATCATTATCCACCCATGCGGGCAGGAAAAAACTCAAAGGTCAATTAACGCTTGAGTCACAACGCGACTCGGAGACTGGACCCGAAGCAGCAAAACGCAAAATGACCAAGGAAAATCCCTTTTTTCGAACCAGCCTGAAAAGGCCACAGGGCTATATTACAGGCCCGAGGTTTCTGTTCGCCAAATCATTGATAAAATCAAAACATAAGGGGAAATAGAGTTGCAAAATTCTCCTCATACAAATGCCGAATTAAAGAAGTACTACAAACAAAGAGACCACGGAAAAAGATAGCA